AATCCGATCATTAAATCAAAAGCTATTCAAGTGGTCCGTTTTATTTTGCTCACTGAACTTTCTACTTCTTTAAATTTCTTAGTTCCTTAACATTCGATTTCTTTATAAATATTAGACCGATTTCGTTCCTAATTTTGTATTTTACCATATAAAATTATATTTTTTAAAATGATGTAAACATTTTTATACCTAACAATTCAAAAATTTTCTGACTTTTATTGAATACAAAAAATAAAAAAAAATTTTTTTTTTTGTATGGAATTATTTTTGGATAAACGAATTAAGATAAATATTTTTGTGAAAATATTTTTCAATTCACTTAAATCCTTTTCGAGGTATAATAAGAAATGTGCAAAAAGTAAAATTAACCTTAAGGGGTCCAAATTTTCGGCCGCCCCCCAGACCAAACTATTGAAACCATATTTATTAGATTGCAACTACTCCCTATATGTTGAAGGTCAGTAATCAGATTCCGTCAAGAAAAAGGTATGTTTGCTTAGAGATAGAACGTTTTAGTGCCTGATTTCATAATTTAAAAATATTGTTAGCTCTAAATAATTAGCGTATTTGAGTTCATCCTCTGTAACAAATTTAGCTATATTAAGGAAACAGTTTTTTTTACCATTTTTTTTAATTTTATAAAAACACATTTATTGGACACAACAACAACCACACATTAAAAAAGCAAAAATAAATTGAAATACTCGTAACGGGTTAGTATAAACCTTAAATACAAAAAAACTAATCTTAACAAAAAAACCAACTCACTCTTCAAAACTATAATCAACAAATTCCAAAAATAATTTCGTTCCTTTATTTTTTCCTTGATCTCGTTACGTAGTTTTTTTTAATTCATTCTTTTGTTAGCCAGATATTTTTAAGTCTTTATACCTCTCGAACCATTAAGATTGAATTCTAAAATGTAAAAATTCGATCATTGGATCAAAAGTTATTCAGGGTGATTCATTTTTTTCGCTCTGTACCACAGAGTATAAGTTTATATACTTTTCATTCGCTTACAAACTGATTTGTCGCTACACCAGTAACCTAATTCACTGGTAGCTGATTCAATAATATGTCGATTCATTGATTTACTTTCTTCATTGATTCATTGATTTGCTTCCTTCATTGATTCATTGATTTTTTTTCCCTTTAACTTCCTATTACACAGTTTTCCGTTGAGTCATTCCTTAATATTTAGTTTTAAGATTCTTATCAAAAATGAAATAAGAAAAGCATATACATTTGAAGCCGCAAATAAATACTTAATCGATGAAGAGAAAAAAAATCTAACAAACCACTACCAAGGAAGGTGGGTTGAAAACATCAAAACTGGTTTGATTGTTATGTAAAACAGTGAGAAGTTAAATGTGTTGATTAGAAACACTTTAAAGTTTCCTCAGATACAAAACTGCCTTTCACATTCTTAAATTTCGCATTCTTCATTGATATCGTGACAGATTCCGTTAGCATTTGCTTCATTCTTTGGTTTAATATGAAATCACAAGCTTTAAAGTGTATACTTTTTCATTTCGAAAACGAAATAAAAAAGTATTCTTTCTAAACTATTTTTTCTAAAAGATTATATTAAGGGGGTCAATTTTACGGAACAAGAATCATTGGCAACAACGATTAACATTGGAACGAGCTATTCATAAAAAATATTAAGCCGGCTAGGTGGTCGTCCGGTCGGTGGGCCTGACTGCGATTCCAATGGTTACGGGTTCGAATCCCGTAATATTTTTCTGTGTGTGTTGTCCTGCTATACGTGAATGTGGTCTACCCTATGAACGGGTATCTGTGGCTGTGTAGCTTGAATAATGTTGTATGACTTAGGTTTACTAGCGCCCACCGGGTCATGCTAAATGAGCAACGCTTCCGGCATCTTTTGAGGCGAATAACAAGAGTTCAGGGGCTTATGTTCTAAAAAATACACTGAAAAATTAAAATTAAAATATTAAATGAGGTTACATTTATCAAAAGTTTTAAATATCGTGACATTGAAATACATAATAAGCTTTTAACAGGGAAAATGTTGGACTGAGGTTGGTATTTCGAATGAACGTTTTTAAGTAAATAATATTATTTTAAAGCATATGCTCGTAAATATAAATCCTAATCGTAAATATAAACTCCTTGTTTATCGGCCCAAACATTTTTATTTAATATGAGCGATAAAACCCGTTATCGAGCAACGTTATTGTATCGACGTTCTGATTGGAGATATTTACTGAAACTTAAAATTTTAAAGTTATTAATTCGTGTCAAAGAAATGAAATATCGTTAATTTTTAGAAATTTGTGAACGAGCATTTGTCCCACAATCAGATAAATATTTAAGTTGAATCGAAAACTATTGCCACAAAAATAAATGAAGAAAAAAAAAGAAGTTTAAAAAATATTTACTCTGGATCAGAGATCAGACGCCCGATAACATTACCGAATCCGAGACTAGGAACTGCTAAAGCAGCAGCAGCCATTGTATTCGTGTTATTCGGTGCTAATGCACAAACATCTCGGACACAACCTGTAAGAAAAATCATATTACAGTCTTAGAGAAAGCTTAACAAAATGTGATTTTATAATATTTGTGTGACTTGTATAAGCTATATATAAATTTTCATAAGCAAATTATAGATGTTGTAAATAATATCTGCATGTAAAGGTGGGGTAATACCGGGTAGCTAAGATTCGAAGACTTAATGGAGTTAAACTGTTAGATTTAACCAAGATATTCAATATTTAGTTGTGCACAATATATAATTCGCGAAAAGTCATAGCTACTATCTTTTAATAAATGATTTTTTTTCTATGAAAAGTCAAATCTTCTGCTTTACAGAAGTCATATTCCTCAATCTTACCCCGCTAGAGGGGCAAAGCTGGGTACGCATGTTAACTCTATGCAAAGTTTAGAGATGCTAGAATTTATGCGAAAAAGTAGCAGACATTTTTATTAAAGACAATTTAAGAAAATTATGAATGTAATTTTCATGAGAAACTGCTGAGTGCCCGAATAAAATTCCTTACAAAAATATAATGTTTAAAAAAAAAAGGTAATTTTCCGAAAAAAAGAGAATTTTTTTTAATATCGATATAAAAATTACAATTTTGTAAGAAGGATCTTCAAAAATTCCACGAAATATGAAAATAAGGGTTTTTGTGCTGTGGAGAGTACCCCACAATAAATTTCGTCCTGAGGCCCGTAAAACCATTGTTCAGCCTAAAATTTAGTTATCTTCTTCTTCAACAACGCTGTAACTTTAGAAGACCCGTGAGAATAGAAGCATAAAATTACTTGGTCTTGATATGTTTTTTAACAAAAGTGTGTTGTAGTGTTGCAAAAATTAAAAAAAGATCACAGTTTGATCCAGAAAGTAAGTGACAATCCCTGTGGAAATTAATAGTAAAACAAAAGAAAAACGTGACGACTAATTATGAAAACAACACCTGAAGGCACCTATTTTAACACGTTGAGCCATCGGTGGCTGACACTGGACTTTCCATTTAGGCAGCGTCAGCCACCGGTGGCTGACACTGACCTTTCACATAGGCCGTGAAAAACAGCTGGCTGACAGCGTATAACATGATATAGAACTATAAAATTTACACTCTTTTATGGAATTGCAGAAAATTTATTCAAAATTTACTTAATTATTGTGATTCTTTGTTTAATAAATTCAATTTACTGGGTTTCTATTCACCACTATTTCTAAACAATTCGTAGGCATATATAATTCACCACTTCATATATGTCAAGCTAAACCTTTTAAAAACTAGCAAAATCTGTCTAATATTTGCAAATTTAGTTTGTAGTTATTTACCGTTGTGGCCTGACGGGTAAGACATGCAAAATTAGCGTGGCTCTCAACGTGTTAATTTTCAACATTAATGTGAACAAAGTGCCTCTTCGAAAACTTTATAATCTTTAACTTTAGACAACTAACCTTCTTGTGCAGAGAGATATACTAACTCTCAATTTGGCCATCACTAGGTGCCAGGTGTTACCGAAAGTGATTTCATCAAATCCCGCAAATTACTTTACTATGCATATACACTTTTTTGTAATTAAAATTCTCGTCAGTCCAAAGTTAAGTGTGTTCGTATTTGTGAAAAATTCAAAAACCATTTTAATAAGCAAACAAAGTATCAAAGAAAAATAATTAACTTCAAATTAGACACTCTTCTATGCTCAAAAAAGAGTCTGGGGGGGGGGATGAAGTAAAATATTGCGACATTAAAAAACAAAAATTTCGAATTTGAAATTAGAAAACTCTACCGTATATCTGCCACTCAATAAATCCATTGCTCTAAAAGGTGTATTTTAAATCTTTTTAAAGTTATTTATTTTGCATAAAATAAGACATATCGAGATAACTTTTGGATGAAAAAATATCAGCAATATATGTACATTTTTTGCTGAATTCAAATTCTAGTTTTACCTATTTCTTTTGAGAGCGAAGTTATTTTTTCCCTAAACTTTAACATTAGGACAAGGGTGGGCAAATGTTTTGCTTGGAGGCTGTATTGTAAAAACTGTGGTTTACTGAGGTTCGCACCATTAAGAAATGCCCGAATTCCTTACCATAAAAATCAATAGTTATAAATAAAATATAGTATTATTTACATAAAAAATAACAATGTAAAATATAATAATAAAAATATAATGATATAAAATATAATGATATAAAATTATAAATTAATTTGCAGATGAAATACAGAGAAAAATTTCATAGAAAGAATGGTTAAATAACAATTTATTTAAATATTATTTTACCATATTCGTTCAGAACAGTCAAATAGCCATAAAAATACTAATTAAACTGTTTAGTGTGAGAAAAATCTTTTATTGACTGTTCTCACCTAATAAAGATAAACAACCAGAATTTTATCCGTGTAAACTTATGAAGCCACTTACTTTCTTGCAGCTGGGAACATACTATAGCTGAAAAGGCTAGTTTGGTAAGTGGCTGGCTGAACGAGACATGAGATGGCTGAACGAGGGTTCGAATTCCCGCGTTGTCATGACAATATTTCTTACATTCCTTTAACACACGAAGATTTTCTAGTTTTCTGCACTTTTCAATTGGTGATCTTGGAATATTGGAACACAAAACTATCATTCACACGGAGATGGCAGCACCACAGAGCTGCTAAATTACCATCTTTCACGATAGATAGCGCCACCACATAAACCAACTAAACCGCATTCCGGGGTTCATTCCTGGATTGTTTCCGCGTGGGCTCGATCCCCGGCGGCCAGAGATTCTCCGTGTAGTAAATGGTGACTGATGCAAGTTGAATCTGTCTAGTCGCAAAGTCCTCCATGTTCCCATAACAAATCAATACCTCTGAGGGTACTGAATTCCGCATCCTGCGTGCACCGACCAAAGTGCTGACGTGAAATATCCTCAGTGGTAGACGGATCATAGGTTAGAATCCCCTTGCCGTTAGGCTATCCGTGGAAGGTCCTCGTGGTCTTCCTCTCCATGTAACGCAAATGCGGGTTAGTTCCACCAACAAGTCCTCCACGAAGGCAAATTTCTCCCAATACTTGATCCAGGAGTTTCCTTGTCTTCTGGATTGGTTCAAAATTTCAGGGCTACGGAGTTGAACATTAGTAGTCGTAAACCCAAACTTGGGTCAGCTGTTCAACGACGGTTATAAAATAAAATAAAATATGGTGTTTTAGATGTTTAATACGTTGCAGTTGTAGCTACTAAACAACATTTTGAAAATGTTGCTTAGTAGCTGCAACTCTAACAAAAAGCATTTCTTTTAAAATGTTTGTTTCTTTCAGTACTATTGTAAAAAAACACAAAAAGGACTTACCTTCATACAATAGGGTGGGCCCTGACGTCACCATAGCATTTTTTTCTTTTAAGTGTCCTTCTAATTTCAAACTTTTGGGATGTTTCTTCATAGTTACAATAAGACTCTGTGATTGTCACAAAAATAATAACATGATAAATAAATATTTTTCTATATGTAACCATGAAAACAAGATTAAAAATCTTTAGATTTTATGCAACATCAAGCTATAATTAATTTAAAATTTGTTTTTGCCACCGGATAGCAGTTTTTTTTAACATTTTGCAGTAAATGAAAATTTTTAAATTATTTAAAATACGTATCTAAGGCAATGACTTAAACGTAAATACACGGAATTTTTTAATTAAAAATTTTGTTTCTACAAAAGAAACAATTTAAACCAGTGCAAAATATCATAAAAGTGAATATTCACAGGATTTCGGTATTAAATTTTTAAAAGAGGAAAAATGGTGTAAAAATTCACGGTATTTAGGCATAAATGAAATTTCTTTTTTAACGATTTTTTTTTCTCAAGAAATTAAAATACACTCATAATGCATAAAGGTGATTTAGGCAAGTTATGACAAATCTATAATATTAAGCATTGTTTTGTGTTTTAATGCCTCTAAAAACTCATTATTATTCTAATTTTTGAGTACATGATGGTTTCTTGTAAATTAAATTATCATTAACCTAACTGAGCTTTTTTTTTTTAAATACAACAAGTAGTTAATAAGAAACAAAAAAGTTTCAAAAATCTTAAAGTACCTTTACATATGTTTGAAACTGGGTCTCCATCGGTACAAAATAAGTTTCAATTGGTTTAAAATTTTAACTGGATTATTTTCGGAAATCAGCTGTAGAAGTGGAGGTTGCGCTATTAACAGAGCTTCCTCTAATGTATGACATTTCCAGCCTTTTGTTCGTTTTGGAAATTGCAAAGTAAAAATCTTTGTAATATTTAGACTCATCTATTGCTGTTTAGTAAATTAGTAAAAGTAAGCACTAGTAAATTGCTTGCTTGTTATATTAAACAGTAACCAAACACTCTCAATTTCTCTAGGAATCGAAATTTTCAATCTTTTAATTACTTTAATAAATGACTTTAAATGTTAAATCTGTCGAATTAAGCATATAAAACTTCAAATCTGTTTTTGTCTTTATTTTGACTGTCGACACGCAGTCTAATGAAATGTTTAATACTATACTGGTAAAATGGAAATAATAATTTAAGAATGATTAACTGAAACATGCTTGGGCATTAAATTTGATCATCTAGCTTGAATAAAAAAAATGTTCCAAGCGTTTGATAACGACACAAGTCCTTTAATTTGCCACGACCTATGCTTTTGGAACCTTAGAGACTCTTTGTAAAGAAAAAACTTGTCTTTCGATGCCGGGTGGTAAAATTGCCGCTTTGAGGAGAACTCCTCCAGACTAAAAGTTTGGGACTGTCTGCAGCTATGGTAACAAGCGATAGCATTGTTTCTAATTGGGATGAAATGGAGATATGAAGGTGTCGATTGGTTTACTTAAGCTGACCTATGTTTGTACTAAGACAAAACTATTCACCCCACACCCTTAATCCAAGTGACTTTACTTCGTAATCATGGTAACCGCCACGAAGCGAAACTGATGTCTGGAGGAGTTCTCCTGAAAGCCGCACAATACTTTTAGCTGAGAAACATAATGCACTGCTGTGTGGACTAGCAGCTGTCTGCTCCTTTGTTACATAACTGCCGTATAAGAAAATCCGCAGCTGCGTGGAGCCTGGGAAACATACATACAAATTTGAAACGCTTTCGTTTAGATATGTTTTAACCTTAATGGGGCTCACAAAATTGTTTTAACTGAGTTTCATCTCTCAGAAAATAGTTCTTAAGTTCAACGCCTAACTGAGATTAATGTTGACTTCAAGCTATAGACAGTTATTAGCTTAACAAATGGGTGATTTAAGTTTTACCCTTTTTAAAATGGTGAGAACTGTACTCACAAAGTTGATTAATTTTTAAGTGTCAATGGGAAGCTATTTTCCCTTCTATAATTTACACCCAAGTCAAAATTTTTGATGGTTTTCCATTGATGAACCAACATAATCTTGAGGGTAACCATCAATAATTCTATCATGAACCATTATATTTTTTGATAGTAAACATTATAAGTAACCATCACCCCAATGTAGGAATTCGGACTGATTTATGATGGTTCAACATAAGAATAGCAACATGTTTTGATGATTTTTTAATGTTAAACCATCAGAAATTTCCATCATAGTTTTTTAGAAATCAAATGTTGGAACGATCATGAACAACCATCATCTCAATGTAGGATTTCGGATTGATTTATGATGGGCCAACATTAAAAAAAAATGTTTTGATGGTATATTCCTAAGAACCAACAAGAATTCCCCTTAAACCATCATAGAAATGTATAGTTGGAACCATCATGGACTATCGATAGTCATCATAGATTGTGGGTCCATGAGAAACAAACTTCTTTTGATGGTTAACCATCATAGTATTAAAGTAGCTTTTTCCATCATGAAATGATGGAAGTTTGCCAGCATATCAAAAACCATGAAGGCATAATGGAAAATGCTGGATGATGGTGACCATCAAATGATATCGGACCATCATAAATCACACTGAAACCCAACATAAACCATCAAAATTATTTGATGGGAATATCAAGAATTTTGACTTGGGTAACTTTAGAAAATAAACAAAAAAAATTTAAGCAAAAATAAGTAAATAAATAAAATAAAACTTATGAAGGGCTTTGTTTACATGAATATAGGTAACATTATGGTGACAAGAAGAGAGATTAACATTACGGAGCTATTTCCTCTCTTTATATAAATTTTGTTATTTATAAACACAGAAGTTTAAGTTTACATACCTTTACAGTGGGTAAAAATATTAAAATTTCATCTACCTTCCCACAAAAAAATAGGTCTTAAAAATCAAATTAGTTTTTGACGTAATATGCTAAATGAATTTCATTTTATAAATCATTCTCAACCGCAAAAATATTTTAACACAAAATTGTTAGAACAAAAGACCATATAAAGGGTTAAATAAATAAGGTATTAAATATTTTTAACATTTCATCTAGATTCGTTAAAAGATAATACTTGAATCAAAATTAAAGAAAATACTAAAAATAATACGCAAAAAACATTGAAAAATACATATTTAAAGATGCGTTATACATAGTACATACATGTTTAAAATACGTAAGAAAACTTAAAACTTAAAAACTTAAAAGGCAGTTGCCGACATCCTCTGTTTAATCAATGAAAAGAAAAAAAAATTTAACATTTAATTATTAAATAAAATAAATCCTGAATAAGGCCATGCCAAAATTCATAAGAGTTTTACAAAAAGGTAAGGTCAGCTTTACCGAAAATCTAGCTCTGACTCCTAGTTTGAAAAATAACGTTTTAAAAAAGTATTGAAATTGTTTACTACATACTCGTATCAAGCCTGCCTCTGACATTTTTTTGAGATCTTCTCCACCCCAAAAAGCTCCACTGGGAACATAAAGTCCATTTTTTGTTGCAGCGCTTTTTAAATCTTGCAGTAAATTTTCATCACACAAGGCTGTTGGAGAACCTATCTAATGTGAAAAAAAAGAAAAAAAAAACGAAATTGGTCGACATAAGAAAACATATTTAAGTGGTAGGATTGTTATTGCATGTGTATAAATAACAGGTCATAATCTCATGTCAGTATTTAATAATTTTTTTCAGAGATGAACATTTAAGGTATAATCTTGTTATATGTGACACAGGGTGATATTTAATTTTTATTTATGGATTCTTTGTAAAACCTAAGGAAAACATTATGTACATTAGTTGTTGCAAATAAATGGTCAATTACGAGAAAAAAAGTTAAGAGTTTGTCAAATTTTGACTAGTTATAATCGAGTTCGGTCAAAGGGGAACCAATTTTTGGAAAACCAGTTTCAGAATAAAGCTGAAAGTGGTGCCTAACGAAAGTTAAACGATATGTACTCCAATTTTGACATATAAATTCATTTTTCGTTAATCTATTGCCTCTATTCCTTTGATCAATCTCAATAAAGCTTATTCAGAGTTCAATGACAGTTTTTTTACTTGAATCCCCTAATGTGCATAATATTTCGTTTCTTGCAGGAAATTTAAAAATATACATGTTTGGGCCTTTACATATTAACCCTTTGACGCAGAATTCTATGTGAAAATACAATTATCTTGTTTAAGGTATTCAAGTGTTCCATTTTTTTCAGCCCACAACGTGGATTGTATAGAAATATAATTTTTATTTTTGACGCATTTTTCATATTTTTTCCATACTTATCATTAATTTAGGTCAAAATAAGGTTAAATGCTTAAAATATTATATTTAGGAGTTATGAAATAATTTATAGTTATGAAATACAGCACAAAACACCAATGTCTTTTTCGCGTTAATGGTAAAATCTTTCGAATACGGCTCCCTTCTAAACAAATAATTATATTTTTTAATTTCAATTTTTAAAATTTGTACTCATTTGCAGTCAGTTAGATTTAAAAGAAACAATTATTTATCACTGAAATTTCTTTAATTTACAAAATCAATTATTGGTAAATTTATATATATATATATAAAGAGTAAATAGTTATTAAAAATACTATGATTTAAATTCTTATATTCAAATTTCTGAAACGTTTAGAGGTACCCTAACTAATTATTTCACAAAAATCATAATATAGTCTCTATGCCGATGTCAGCTAACACTGTAAAAAGTTTATTAGGTTGTTCAAAAAATAATTGCATTTTTTTTAAATAAAATGAAAGTCAATTTTCTTACAGTGAATAAACATTTTATTGAATCGTAATTTCCATTCTGGTCCAATACCTTTTGCCCTTCTTTTGGCAGCAGCATGATTTCAGGAGGCAAGATTTTGTTTTTGTTTATATCTGTCAAAAAAAAAAAAAAAAAAAAAAAAAAAAAAAAAAAAAAAAAAAAAAAAAAAAATNAAAAAAAAAAAAAAAAAAAACTAAACCTGGCGACTTTCGTCCTTTTTATTTTAAACAAAGGTTTTATCGCCGAAACAAATTTGATAGGGTTCAAGATTTTGTACAAATTTTATAGAGTCAATTTAATTTTAAATGCAAAAAATCGTATGTTTCTGAAAAATAAAAATAAGTGAAATTTATTCTCAGTTAGTACTAATATAGTGAACTAACCAGATAACATATTTAATTTCAGATAGTAAGTAACGTATTTAATGCCTTTGCAAGGAACTGAGACTTGAAAGCTTTTACCTCTATTTGAGATAAGTTTTGCGGTTATAAGTAATATTTTCAACTAGTGGGCTGCGTCCCCTGCTCGCAAACGCCAACCCCCAAAAATTGCTACGCAATCTTATGTGGCTTGCTTCGCTCGCTACTAATTTAGGTACATTGCAAATGCACAAAATTCTAAGAATTCAAAACAATCATTCAAATCCATATAACAACTTTTTTTAAAAGAAAAATTACATCTTTTTAGTAAATACTAAGTCTTTAAAATAAATTTGAACTCAAATAAATGACATGTAATTCGTTAAACCTATTAGAAATGTGCTATAGTATAAAATCTTAAGAAAAAATTTCTAAAACTGATATCTCTTTAAAAAGGTTAAAATTTGGCTATAATTAAGTCTATTAAAATGACAGCACGTCGTCTACGCATTCTTTCACCACTACGTCTTTCATAGCTGTCATCAATGCTCTCTTCCAATCTTCGAGCTTCCAATCTTACTTCAAAAGCACGACTGAGACTCATTTTTCAAGGAATAACTATTAACAATAATAAGACAAATAAATTCGTGATGTAAATCAAAAATCGTCAAATAAATTCGTAATATATTATTAATTCGTGAAAAAAAGCGCTTTCGACAAAATACTAAAATAGAGATCTATCGACAAAGACTACTCACTCCTGCCTAGCTTAATAGTATTTGGTGAGAATGCTCTCTCTGGTTATTTCAGTTTCCGTTTTTAAAAGCGCTATATTTTGAGCCACCTCAGCTAGATTTGGCATGTGACATTTTTAACTGCAATCATTGGTCGATTTTCTAGCGTTGTCATTCGGGGAGTTGTAATGAGGCTTTTTTTTGTCGCCGTGTATGAGAAATATATATACAGATCTTTCCCATTTTTTCCTTAAAAGTTCAAAGGAACTTCATATAGTGTAAATCGAATATTTGTTTAAAATTAATCAACAAAATTCAGTTGATTTTATTTATCCAAATCACTTATAAAATACACTTAAAAAACCATTTTCTTATGTTATTACTCATTTTTATAACTTTCTAACTCATTTCAATTATGTTTATCGTAAAAGGATTTTGTATTTTCAGTAGATCTATGGAGACTGAAAATGTATGCAAATGCAAATTGCATACATTTTAATTTCGTTTTTCAATAAAATTTCTTAATAATTTCCATGTTTTAGAATTTGATTATTAATATTATTACTCATTTTAAAAGTGGTTTATATTATTGCAACCATATTCATAATAAAAGAATTTAATACTTTCAGTAGACATAGGGCAATTCCATATGTGACGGAATGACATTTTGACTTGCATGATGACAATTAATTGAAGTTTCTATGCATCTAATTTCAAATAAACATGATTTTTTCTCATGCATATCATTATTATTGGTATAATGTGATTCATAAACTAAAAAAAAAGAATTTTGTATTTTTTTTATTTTTAATTTTATGAACTTTTTACTTGTGTGACGGAATGACATTTTGGCAACCAAGCTTTCGGCATGCCGCTTAGAACTGGTAGTTTCTGTGAATTTTGCAACTATTATTTTCCTGAACTATTTTTTACTTTTAGTATAATGTGTAAGCAATGTAAATTGTGAATTTGGAAAATTAACCTCAGGTTGGCTAGCAGTTATTAACATCTATTTGCTGTGACGGAATGACCGTGACGGAATGACAAAAAGTTTAGTGGAAGAAAGTCTTCATTTAAAAAATGTTTTATTAATATGTAAATGATAAACAGAATGTAACAGATAAACAGAATTAATATTTACGTAAGAATCAGTTAAAATTTCAACAATTTGAAAATTAGGTTGTCTCAGAAGAGGTTTTATATCTAACTTGCCAATGTCACATCTTATCTTCGTTCTCAGGAAATTTATGCATTATTAAGACATGTGACGGAATGACGTAAAAGAAGTTACTTTTATTTTATATATTAAACTTAAAATGTTTACATTTTGTTCTATATGCATATTTTTATCAAAATATTGCAAAAGAAAGATACATTTATTTTATTTTATAAGTATTTTTCAAGAAAACAATTTGAGCTCAAATGTGAAGAATTCACTTGTCAGCCATGTGATTACTTTAGAATGCTGCCAGATTCAAAAAACTTAAAATTATCAAAAATTAAACAGTAATATGTAGACTTTGGCTATTTTTGAACATATTTTTCAAATTAAAATATGCAATTCATAAAAAAAAAATTTCACTTAAAAGTTGACACTTTCGTGGAATTGCCCCATGTACAGATATTGCTTCAAATAGAAAACGTAAGCGCAAATCGCAAATGCATCAATTGTTTTTTGTTTTGCAATAAACAGTGTTAATAGTCTCCATGTTCTAGAAATTGTCTATGAATGTTATTAATCATTTTTTATGACTTTGTACCTTATTTCAACCGTGTTAATTAGAAAAGAATTTGATACTTTTTGTAAACGCATTGATATTGCCTTAGATATTAAGTGCAGATGAAATAAAATCTAAATGCACTTAGCACACGTATCTATTATTTTCTTCTGCAGTAAAACTTGATAAAAATAGTAACCACACTCTGGAAATATACTATTAATGTTATTACTCGTTTTATCACTTTGTACCTTATTGAACCATGTTCATTATAAAATAATTTAATGCATTTAGTAGACATATAGATATTGCTTTTAAATAGACATTAAATTAAGTGGAGACGAAAAGAAATGAAAATGCAAGTTGCATGCGTATCAATTGTTTTTTGTTTTGCAATAAACAATGATAACAGTTTTCTTATTTTAGAAATTAACTATGAATGTTGTTAATTATTTTATAACTTTGTACTTTATTTCAACTATGTTAATTAGAAAAGAATTTAGCACTTTTAGTATACAAGTAGATATTGCTTTTAATAGATATTAAGTGGAGATTAAACGAAATGTAAATTCACATTACATACGTATAAATTTATTTTTTCAATAAAACTTGATAATAGTTACCATACTCCAGAAATTAACTATTAATGCTATTACTTATTTCATAACTTTGTACCTTATTTCAACCATGTTTATTCTAAAAGAATTTAGTGGTTTTAATAGACATTCAGATATTACTTTAAATAGATATTAAATAAAGTGAAGGCAATAAGAATGCAAATTGCATACATATAACTTTTTTGCTTTGGAATAAAATTAATTGTTTGCTTATAGCTTTGCATGATAATAGTTTCACTTTCTTGAAATTGACTGTTATATGCTATTACACATTTTATTACATTGATAGTAGTTTCAATGATTCAGAAATTGACTATGAATATTATTACTAATTTTATAAATTTGTACATTATTTTACAATGATTATCATAAAAGAATTTAGTACTTTTAGTAGATTCATAAATATTACCTAAAATGGATTCTAAGTAAAAATGGAGATTATAAGAAATGCAAATAGCATATATTTTTCTTTATTGTTTTGTAGTAAAATTTAATAACAGACTTCCTATACCAGAAATTGGCCAAAACAAATATTTATACCATGTAGTTGCAGTGCTTTAAAATGACTTTTCCATGAGATCTAGTAATAGAGGGGTGAGCGACTTCCACAATAAGATCCACATTCTTTAGAACAAAATCATCCAGATTATTCAAGATGAGAGATTCATCAATTTTTCCTCTAAGAGTTGATATTGTGCGGTTCCAAACGAATATCAACTCAAAATTTTCATCTTGTATAATTTTTGAAGCTAAATATTGACCTAAAGTGAAAGAAAGAATGAACATATAAGGACTTGCCTAGTTTTTATAATGAACACAAAAATGCGTCAATCATATGTATGGGTAGATCTTTAAAACCTTTAACTTTTGATAATAAAAAAATAATAAAAAATAATAGACACATTATTTTTACACCTCCAGAATTGTTTGAAAATGCGTAAAATATCAGAAAATAATCATGAACATCGAAAATTTTGATGCCCTTATAAGTATAAACAAAAAATTTAAATATTTGAACTAATTTTTCTAGGTTTATATATATTTCATTAAAAATCATAAAAACGACAAAAGTATCATTTATTTAATAAGCATTTAATATCATTATCATTTATTTAATATCATTTATTTATAAGTTTAGAAACTTATTGAACCTATTTTTCTTTTATTGAGCAATTTTTTCTTTTTAACAATTTCATCCATATTTACCTTTTATTTTTCATCAAAAATTATTAGTATCATAAATGAATTGAAAAATTTTAATCTTAAGTTAAATTGTTATAAAATGTATAAAAAGGCTTACTTTAATTATTTTCAGTCAAAAAATGTCTTCAATTAGTTAAACATAGGGAAAAAACTAATATCTGATAGGTTAAATTCAATTAATTAATCCTGAGGTTACGGTTTGACAGGGTTACGGTCTGGACAACATGGAGAATAGTTTGAAAACTTTACTCAGATGCAACGCAATGCGATGCACACGACACAGAAAATAAATTAGGCAATGACAAACGTGTGATCAAAATTTTGATTGATTTTAACATTTACTTTTTAGATCTGCGTCTGGTTACGGTCTTGACATCGTAACTGTTACCTCACCGAATGACAGTTTGTGATAAATTCTATTAATTTATAATTACTGCAAATAAAAATATTTATCTATAATAAGGATACAAGTTTGTTCTACTTTAAATGAGCTTTTGGAATATCACTAACATAAAACTCACAGAATTGGATTGTATACCTTTTTTTTCAATTTTCGATGGTTACGGTTTGACGTGCCAAAATTTGGCGACAAACATTAAGTGCTTGCAAACGTCAATATTCACGAAAAATATCATTCAAGAAAATATGATAGTACAGCTGAGCTACTAAATTATGATTTTGTGATTTTCAGTTTTTTTTAAACAGAACACATATTGAAAAAAAAATAAAAAGTATGTTAAACACTCTAAGCGACACTCATGAAAAGTTGTCAAACGTGGGATTGAAGTAAGAAATGAAAGCCAAAAGCAAGTTACTCGAGATCAAAACTGTACGTATCTTAAAGTTAGTAATGCATAGTTATTCCTGTAATTTTATTAGAAATAATTTTCGCTTATTATGCTATATATTTATAAGAAAAGTTTGAAGAGATATAGGTTAATGATTCCTGAGATTCGCCCATATATAGATTATATAAGTTCAAAATGACGATAAAACAACGGAAAATTACAGACATATGAAAAAAGGGGAAAGAAAAATAATAATAAAAAAATAACAAACAACTGGGAAAAAAAAGGATAAATTTTTTTTAAAAAAAATCCGGAAAATAAAAGATATAATCTCTTCATCAGCCCACACGATTATATCCGCAAAAAAGAGTGCTTTCTGATATTTTATCAACATAGCCAAAGCAAAATATATTAATACAATAGTGTGAGGAGCACTCAAAAAAAATTTTTACAAAAATTACAGTTTGATATTTAGAATCTCTGACTAGGAGTTTGTATAATTTTTCTTTTTTAAATATTATTGTGTAGGTTTCCAATCAAATTTTAAAAGAAGCTTAAACTTTAGTGTAGATTCTTTATCTATCCTAAGTTTGCGTGTACAAGTTTCACTATATGTATGTTTTAAGTAAATTTTTCCGATAATATTCTAAAAAATATTCTTTCTGCTTTGTCTGGACTGATATATCTTAGAGACATTTATTGTATATGTTACTGGCAAAGTTTGAAATCCGATATTTTATAAAATGCCTAGTCATTGTATATAATGACTAAAACTAGCCGGCAAAGTATGAAACGATTCATATTTCACATTCTATAGAATGCTCAATGAGTAACCGGTGAACTATAAAATACAACTCCAAGTCGTTTCGAATGGAATGAAATTTAAACTGACTATAAATATTAGTTTGAGATGAATTCAACTTGTAGTGCGCAAGCGATTATTGAAACTTGTATTTTTACCAGGCTTAGAAATACAATCGAGATTTGAGCACTTTGGCTAGTTGGGATGTGGTCGCAACTTCGATTGAGGATAAATTTCATTATGATACAAATGAGAAATCTAGCTGAGATTTGAGTCCTCTTACTAAAGGAAAAAGTAGTCGGAATTTGGACTTACGATCGACTTTTTTTGACGACAATTTTTGATTGTAACCTTCTGGAAACGATTAAAACTTGTGATGTCAGATAGAACAAAGTTAGTGTTAAAATTTGATCAACTTGTTAATCTCAATTAAATAAAAAAGAATTATTCAATTAATCTAAAATTGTTGAAGAGNTTAATAAAGAAATTTTTAATAAATAATTTTAGCCACGAATTTACCCGAAATGGATTTGCACATGGGAAAATTATATAAATTAGCAAAGAAAATTTTTTGTAAATATATCCACAAAAATATACGATTAATTCAATGATTTTATATAGAATTTTATTACTTTAGTTGGGTATCCATTGTTTTTTATCAAATTTTGAAAGAGTTTATGCATTTGTTTTTTGGATAAATAAATATTACTACATATTCTTTCAGTTCTATTCATTTCATTAAAAGTGGTATTTAAATAGATGCTTCTAGAAACATTAGAATTCCAAGTAATTAGTTTACTTATATTAAATTAAAATCATTTCTTTTATCGTATAAATCAACAAAGCAGATATTTTCATCTTTTATAATACCCAAATCCAAAAAATTAAAATTAATATTACATCATGATTGCGAAGCAAGATTAATTCCTCGGGGTAAATATCATTTAATAGAATAGTATAATCTTGAAAATTAAAGATAATTAAGTCACCAATATATCTAAAAAAAATTTAATACTAAGAGTAAATTTTTTTTCATAATTATGCAAAAATAAGTTAGCTAAGACAGATGAATAATTAGATCCTTATGGTATTCCATCAATTTGAAGAAAAATATCCCTTCCATTGTGAAGATAATTATTAAAAAGACAAAAATTAATCAGAATTTCTCAATAATCGAAATCGCAACGAAGGATATTTTTAAAATCATAGTAATAATTCAAAAGGACATCCTTTAGTTTAGAAAGGGAAATGCTACTGAAAAGATCCTGGAAATCAAAAGTCGCAATAGAATTAATTTTATTATGTTTAATGAATTCTAATATCGGTTGATTATTAGTGATAATCCAAGAGAAACCTTCGTTAGAAATATTGCTAATAATTTTATTTAAGTAGTTAGAGAAAATGGTGCCAGGTTTAGTTAGATAAGTATTAGATCCACATGTGATAGTTCTAAATTTTACAGGAATTTTATGAAATTTAGGACTGATAATTAAGTAAAGAAATTGTATATTGCTAATTTTAATTTTTAATCTCTTATATAAAACAAAATTTTTTTTAATGACAGTATTATTATCGAAATTACTAAGTTTAAAATTTTTACTATTTTTCAATTCCGTATTCAAAAGTTCAGCATAGAATTTTTTACAGAAGATTGCATAATTATTGTTAGCTTTGTCTATGGGATTAATTACAAAATTTTTTTGAAGTTGCTTAATTGATTGAATAATATTAGAAAATTTTGTTGGATTGTCACTCTTATTTAAATTATCCTTATTATTGAAAACGAAGTTTTTAAAGTAATAATAAACACCCCATTTCCATTCTGTTAGCATACCTGAAGGTAAAGAGAATCTATTTGATATCTTTAAACAAAAACTATTGAGATCATTAAGAAAGTATTTTAGAATTTTATTGATTAATATATGGTAAATGGGTCTAAATTTTGTGCCTTTTATCATTAAATTCCTAAGTTCTAAGTTTTCTATAATATTTAAATTACCAGTAATAATATGTTTATGACGTTTATCAACAAAATCAAAATATTTCTCTTCCTTACAGTGACATTCATAATTGGATATACTATTAATACTCCCTAAATTTTTGCTTATATCATTATAATTAAATATGGTTCTACCAAGAGATTTATTATATTTAAAACTTTTAATTATGTTAAAATCTTTTTATGGAAATGAAACTTTAAAATTTTCAAAAATATTGTGAAATTTGATCTTATCGAAAATTGGATTTTGAAAGTTAATAACGAAATATAAATTATCTAAATTTTTCTTCTTATTTGGCGAAATTTTACTTATTTTGGCTTTTATAAGATCGAAACAAAGAATTTTACAATGTAAATTAATAAAAGAAAAGTTAATAATAAGATCGTAGAACTTATATACATCATAATTCTTAAGGGAGAAGACAAAATCTTTAATTGGCTTAATGTTATAATGTTTATTAAAATCTTTTTCCATATTAGAAAGAAAATTTATATTTAATTAGTCACTATTAAGAGAGTTTCGATTATTTCTTGAGCCCCGTTTACCTAGATTTGCACGCTTATTTTTAACATGAAAAAAGTGAATAAGTTGAGGAGTTATTAAAGTTAATCTGTGTATGTTGGAAGGTATCGTTTAGCATATACGGCAAAATTGTTTTGTGTAAAAGCATATAGTAATTTTCTTTTTGTAGTCTTAAATCTAAATCTTCTACAATATCTAAAATATTAATTTTGACACTGTTAAATTTATGTACTCTAAAATGATTCAATTCCAGATTATTGATAGTCTTATTACTGTTTATATCAGAACGGTGTTGATTAATTCGAATGTTAAGTGAGTTACTGGTTTGTCCAACATATTTTATATTTCAGAAACCACAGGTTAACACATAAATAAAATTTTTAATTTTACAAAAAGATTTGGAGCTAACGTTATAAAGAAATGTATGTCAATATTAGGGCATGTATGTCAATATTATGGCAAATTTTGCATCTTTTATCACCACACGCTTTATGGGACGGTAAAATGTAGGGAATAGAAAGCAATTAATATCGGGAATAGAATGTTTTTTTGCGGATATAATCGTGTGGGCTGATAGAAGATTATATCCGGATTTTTTAAAAAAAAAAATTATCTTTTTTTTTTCTTCCCCAGTTGTTTGTTATTTTTTTATTATTATTTTTCTCTCCCCCCCCCTTTTTTTTCTTCATATGTCTGTAATTTTCCTTTGTTTTATCTTCATTTTGAACTCATCTAATGAGTTCTGTTTACTTGCAGCTTATGCGCAATAAATGAAACTTATTGTTTTTCTTAACTTTCTTCGTGT